CCGCCGTCCGAGTCGCCTGTCTCGGCCTGCACGATCACACCCCTCTTGTTCATCCTGTAACCCTTGTGCAGATACTTGTAGATGAGGAGGCGACGGTCGGCCACGTAGGCCGTGAGCACGGTTGCCGGGAAGAAGGAGAAGGTGAGTATACCCTCCCAAACTTCGAGCACGCCGGGGCTCGAGACCGCAAGGATCAAGTAGAGCCAAACGTAAGCGAAGATGCTCCACGTGGCGGTGACGAAGAAAACTCTCAAATGTTTGATCTTCCTCGTCTCGCCGTTCGGTATCACGAACACGCACAGCGAGATGATGACGAAGAGGTTGTACGCGGCCGAGCCAACGATCGTGCCCGGGCCCAATTCACCGGCCTCGAAGTTCTTCGCCCAGATCTCGATGATCGACAAAAGGATCTCGGGCGCGCTACTGCCCAGCGCCATTAACGTCAAGTTCGCAACCGTCTCGTTCCATACTCGCACAACAACGATCTGAGGCTCTTTGCCCTGCCGGCGAACGACCAATTCCTTCTCCTTCGAGGTGATCACCTCGATCGCCGCCATAAAACGATCGCTGATGATCGACACGCCGATGAACAGGTACAACAGCAGGGAGAAATAGACGAAGCCACGGAAAATTATGTCCGAAAGATTGAGATTCTCCTGCGGCCTCCATATCGGCACCACCAGACCTGGCTCGCAACGAGTCGAATAATTTCCCGGCATCTTTCCTCCGATTTCACGTCTCGCGCGCGTAACTCGTTTCGTACTCGTTTTTTCCACCAGCCTCGATTCAACGTGGCAAGATCTCCCAATTGTCTCCCTATTATTTCCAACAACGATCAGAGATCCCCAAACAAGAATCGAATATCTTGGCGAAACCTACCATCTCGATTCCCCCATTTCCTCCAACAAATCGACGCGCTCGATCAAATTATACAAATCTTCCTTTTTTTATTTTCTTTCTTCTTCTTTTTTTTCTTTTTTTAAACTCTTTCAAACCAAACGGCACGACAAACGTCGTACGAACCCGCGTCTTCCTTCCTTCGTGCGATCTTCTCACCACCGTTCGTTTCCCATCGATAAGAATATCTCGAGGAGTTCGCAGCTTCACGTTTTCTTCACGATTACTCTTACACTTTTATCTCCCCCTTCCCGATACCGCACTCTTTCTCTCTCCACGACACGCACTTT